CCACCTGGGAAGGAGGAACCCCCAGCACACCTATAGGTTGGGGAGTGTCCTTCTCAGCAGCTTGGAGGCAGAGAGGGATCTTGGAGTCAGAATTGACTCCAAGATGAACACGAGTCGGCAGCGTAACAAGGCCATCAACAAGACCAATTGCACTTTTTTGTGCATTAGCAGGTGCATTACTAATAGATCAAAGGAGGTGATGCTCCCCCTCCATGCGGCACTGGTCAGGCTGCAGTTGGAGTACTGTGTCCAGTTTTGGGCGCCACACTTCAAGAGGGACACGGAGAATCTGGAGAGGGTCCAGAGGAGGGCCACTCGCATGATTAGTGGCCTTCAGGAAAGACCCTACAGGGGGAGGTTGAGAGAGCTGAATCTCTTCAGCCTTCACAAGAGACGGCTGAGGGGAGATCTTGTGGCTGCCTATAAATTTATTAGGGGAGGTCAACGGGGAATAGGGGAAGCGTTGTTTACTAAGGCACCCCAGGGTGTGACTAGGAATAATGGGTGTAAACTAGTTGAGAGTGGATTTAGGTTAGATATTAGGAAGACATTTTTCACAGCAAGGGTGGCCAGGATCTGGAATGGGCTTCTAAGAGAGGTGGTGCTATCACCTAGCTTGGAGGTCTTCAAGAAGAGGCTAGATAGTCACCTGGCTGGGGTCATCTGACCTCGGTCCTCTTTCCTGCCAGGGGCAGGGGGTTGAACACAATGATCCATTGTGGTCCCTTCCGACTCTACAATCTATAAATCTATGTCCTCAAACTAAGCAGGTGAAATAATCCCCTTCCCAGGACTGAGAAAGAACTATCAAACTGATCAATGAATCTAGTAGCAAGAATGTTTACAAGTGGGGGGTCCATGCTGTAGAGTTGGAGAACAGAAAATATAGAACCCTATGTATGAGAAACATGGAAACGAGTGATATGGGGAACTATAGGCCTGTTCCCTTTTTCAATAGTATGTCATGTAGTAGCGAGGTGAGGGCTAAGACCCTCTGCTGGCAAATGGCCCCTCTCCATCTCCATCACCCTGTGTTCTACAACCATGCCTTGATCTTGAGTGATAGAATGGGGTTAACAGGGACAGACCTTCTTGAAGTAATTTGTTGCATAGGTGAAGGAGAGGCCTGCCTGATGTCTTTATGGGGCTCCTCCTTCCCCGTACACTCTACCCACACCTCTCCTGAAGAACTATGCTACAGCAGATGTTGAAAGCTTTTGTTTCCCAGATTAGTCTCTCTGGTTTCCCTTTTTCTACTGGCATTTCCCCTTTAGAAATGCCAGATTCTATTCCCAAGCAGTGCCCCTTTAAATGTCAGTAATCCAAACCAATAAACAAATTCATGGGCTTGCTTGGCTGTTCCACCAATATAGTAGCCTTTTGGAAGTCTGAGTCTGATGCTGCAGACCTTCTCCTTTTGCTTCTTTCTGAGCCCCACTCTGCCTCTGGCTATTCCCCTCCTGGTTCCCTGAGTGCTGCCCAGCTTTCCAGCTAAGATTATCCACCCACTTATGTCCCTCAGGCCAAGCTGCTTGTTGCCTGCTGTTCATCACATCTCCCATCTGGTAAGGGGAGGCAGGGTTTCCAGCATGACTCCATTTCCCTGGAGCATCTCCAGTGCTTCCTCCTGCATGCTGCCACCAGTTGCTTCAAAAATGCTTCACATGGCTCCATCAGCCAATCTGGGAGCTCTGCCTTTCTCCTGCGACTGCCCTATGGCTAGTACCTGCTGGATTCCCTGTTCTCAGGTGGACCCAGCTGCCTTCTTTGCAACCTCAGGCAGGCAGGTTTGGAGGGCTTTCCCAGACATTGTGCTGCACGGCAAGTATCCTGTGCCTGAGCGCCTGCTACACAAGCTTTAGAACAAAGTTTGAAGGAAAGGATAACGACAGATACAGGTGCATGGAAAAGGAGATAAAAATACAAGAATTAACAAAGGTAGATCATGCCAGGCTAACTTCCATATCTTGCTTTGAAAAAAGAATTGATTTTTTAGGAAAGGGAAATGCAGTTGATCTAATCTATCTGGATTTCAGTAAAACATCTGATATGATACCATGAGGGAAATTATTAGTCAAGCTGGAGGAGAAATGGATTAATAGAAGAACAGTAAGATGGCTAAGGAACTTGGGTGGATCCAGAGAAGCAAGATCACGTGGCTACACCACCTTTGACACTGTTTTGATGTTTCACCCAGAAGCTATAATGGGGAAGGTCAAAACAGCCTATAACTTTGTCATTTCTAGCCTGATTTGGATGAAACTTGCAGGAATGGTAGCCTCTTCTAAGGGCATGAAGCCTGCCAAGTGTCAAGGAATAGGTGCAGGGAGTTTCAGGACAATACACCCCAAAGTCTTGAAAGCAAAACTCATGTCATGAGTAGAGCAGGAGAATCACTTTGCAATGGTTTTGCTGGAGATGCATCAATTGATGCATGCCAGGGTATTGTTGGCCCTGCTGGCTACAGCATCACACTTCCAGCTCATGTCCATACGGTGGTCAATTATTACCCCCAGGTCTGTGGTGGCAAGTGATGAGGGATCTTCAGTCTGATGAGAGGCAGCAGTTGCACAAGCACCCATGTCATGAGTTTTGCCTGTCAGCAGCTAGGGGTGCAGGACCCCAGAACCCCCCTCCACCCATCTCCTTAACAGCTGGCAGGCTTTGTGGCCGCAGCAGAGCCTAGCAGCCAGGCCTGCAGTACTTCCCCCAGCCACCCCTGTGCCCCAAGACAGACACAGTTGCACAAGTACCCATGACATGAGGTTTGCCTGTCAGCAGCTAGAGATGCAGGGCCCCAGAGCCCAGAACCCCTGCACCCATCTCCTTGAAAGCTGGCAGGCTTCATGGCCTCATGGCCTGCAGCAACTATTCCTGCAGGTTTCATCCAAATCAGGCCAGAAATGACAGTTCTAGGCTGTTTTGACCTTCGCCATTATATCTTATGGGCGAAATGTTGAAACAGTTTCACTGTTTCAATGGAACGGAACGGAACGGAACAGCTATTTCAAATTTAAACAAAATTTGAAACAGAATACTGTTCCATCAAAATGCTGGTCAAAACAGAACACTGCCATTTCAGACTGCCATACTGCATAGTATACTGGCCAACCATGTTCAAGAATATTGAGTTCAAATTGGAAAAGTGTCATGGGATGGGATCCCAGGGATGGCCATGATAACCCTAGGGCTCCCTGACCATGCCAATCCTGCCCAATGGGCACCCTCTTTCTTTCCTGCCACGTCTTGTTGCAACTATGATAAATAGGGAGGCTGCCCTCAAGTTTGTTTGGATACAGTCCTGATGGACCCCACTGAACCCTGCAGGTTCTCAGACCCCTTTTGGGTCCTGCTCCAAAATGGATCTCTCTCAAGACACCCTCAGCCTTATGGGCTAGATGTTTGGTTCCTAACTGCCCCTTTACCATGCCCCAAGCCTCACAGATGCATTCATACAGTGTCCCTCCAAGGCCTTAGTTTCACTTAGCCTCTCCGCAGCCCTGTCTCTCTCTCTGTGCCCACAGTGGCGGTGGGGTCTGTGCACCCCAAATACTGCACCCACACTGGCTCTGGGGTCTCCACACTGTAGTGGGCCCCAGTGAGGCCTCCTCCTTCCCCAATAGCCTCAGCCCGGTCCTCCAGTTTACAGACAGAAACCAAAATATGAGACCCTGGGCTATAACATAATGCAAGCAGCTCAGGGTGTGCTCTGTCCCTTCAAAAGAATCACCCTTCCCCCCAGTACTATGTGCCTTGTAGACCAGGGTATCTGTTAAGCTCCTGAAGTCCCTTAATCTTACCAGAAACCGAATGGGCAGTCAAGCCTCTTCACTTAGCTTCCTCTAGGAGAGCTCCTTCCCTCTTGGCTGTTGGCAGAGAACTGACTCTGTGGTCCCAGCCCTGGGGCTTATATGTGCCCCAGGCCCTGTCTCTTCCGGTCAGCTGACCGCCTGCAGGGGCGTGCTAA